CCTCACCCACCCCCGCCTCAGATAGGGGCAGCAGGCTTCGGGGACCTGGCTCCCCCATCTCGCGTTCCCCGCCCCCCCCAGCCTGGCCCCCGGAGGGGCTTCCGGTTCAAACCTTCGCGTGGCATTTTCACATTATTTAAAAAAGACAAAAACAACTTTTTGGAGGAACGCAGGGCCTGCGTGTGTTTCAGGGGGCGAGGAGGGGAGGGTGTAGGAGCAGGTGCCACCCTGGAGTCGCCATCCTCACCACCCGGCATGACAGATGGGAACATTGAGGCTCAGAGAGGCTGACAAACAGCTGTGAAGCCCCAGCTCCTCGCGTCTCTGGATCCCAGCTCCCTGGCTGGTGTTTGCATCACTGACTTCAGCTGCAGCCTCAGCTGACAAGAGGCCATGAGGCGCTGGCAAGGGTCGGGGAAGGTCACAGATTATGGTCAGAGCCGTGTTTCCACAAAGCGACCTGCAGTGGTGGCCAGAAGTGACCTGCCAGCACCTACGAATCATCACCACATTCCACACACCTCGGAGTGGCATTGCCTGTTCCTTTAAGGTCGCCTTTTACCTCCCTGCCAACTGTGGCCCTTCCTCAGTTTACCTGTTTCTCCATACAACCACCCACCTCCCTGACGATCTCACCTCCAGCCCTCCCTGTAACTGCATCTCCATTGACATTTCTCCCTTTGGTGCTGTCCCTTTGACCTCCGTGTCTCACCAGGCCCAGTTCTGGTCACCCCTGTCTTGGAATCTTCCCATCTCTCCATTTGGGTCTTTGTCACTCGGCCTCTTTTTTCCATCTGATTCTATTTCTATTTCTTCGAGTTTGCCTGTCACTACTTTTGCCCCTTTGTCGTGTCTCCCCGTCGCCTTCCTGTCTCTGTCTGCCTTGTCTTGGTTTCTTGGCTCCTCCTGACTCTTGACCGGTTCTGCTTCCACCTCTGTCTTCCCTACTGACTGTGTCTGGCTCCGATCTTCTGGTTTCAGCCTGTTCCATCACCTGGGTACCAGGAGGGTATCCAGCTGGGATGCTGTGGACTCCTAGCTCCAGATGATGTGGGCGTTAGGGTCACATTGGAGTCTGGGGATGGATGGTGAAAGGGAGAGAGGATTAGGCTGGGGCCTTTTCCCACTACCGCCACTGCTCGTAGCCCTGGTGGCACTTGAACTGACCCCTGCCTGCCCTGGGGCGCTGCATGGAACCAAGCCAGGCAGGGTGGTGAGGGCCCAGACTTCTGGGTCTGAGGGAGGAGGGGTGCTTTAGTTCACTAGGGCTACTTTAACAAAGTACCACAAACTGGGTGGCTTAAATCACAGACATTTATTGTCTCACAGTTCTGGAGGCTAGAAGTCCAAGTTCAAAGTGCCAGCAGGCTCGGTTCTTTCTAAGGCTGTGAGGGGAGGATGTGTTCCCTGCTTCTCCCCCAGCTCCTGGTGTTTTGCTGGCAATCTTTGGGGTTCTGTTGTGTGTAGATGCATCACCCCGAGCTCTGCCTTTATTGTTACACAGTGTTCTCCCCCGGTGTGTCTGTCTCCCTGTCCAAAAGTTCCCTCTGTGTAAGAACAGCAGTCATATTGGATTAAGGCCCATATTAATGAGCTCATCTTAACTAATTTTATCTGCAATGATCTTATTTTCAAATAAGGTCACATTTTGAGGTCCTGGGGGCTAGGACTTCAACATATAGGTTTTGGAGGGACACCTGTAATAAGAGGGTTGAGAGTTTGGGGTCCTGGGAGAGTAGGGAGCTGGAAACTAGAAGATGGAGAGAAGATTGCAGAGAAGATGGAGGCAGGGAGCAGTTGAAGGACAATTTTGAATGACTGGAGTCTCACTTGAATGTTCCACCGACAATCCAGCTTAATTTGGCTAAAAGAGAAGCATTGATTTCCTACCACTGCCCCCACCAAAAATTCCCTCTTGATCATCTCAAATGATCAAAGTAAATGGCATCGCCATTCACCAGATACTCAGGCCAGAATCTGAGTTGACCCAGCCCTCAGCAAGTCCTACTGGCTCTTCTTCCAAAAGGACTCACATGGGGCCACTTCTCTCCACCTGTACAGCCACACCCTCTTCCACCTGGATGACTGCACAGCCGCCTCTTACCTCCCTCCCACCAGCCGGCCCTTCTCCAAATTACTGTCCTGCAGCAGCCTGGGGACTGAGGCATCTAAGTCACTCTCCTGCTTCACACCCCTGGGTGGCTTCCATCAACTAAGAACACATTCTGTAAGTCCCAGGCCCCGAATGATCAGGCCCATGCATCCCTTCATTTTCTATCACCCTCCCCCACCGTCACCACAAAACAGGCACACTGGTCTGCTGTCAGTTACTCCCACACACCATGCATTTTTTTTGCCTCTGCACATGCTGTTCTCTTTGCCTGGAATGCTCTTCCAGGGCCTCTGCACTGAGCCAGCTACTTCCCCACTAGTAGGCACTCAGTACCTATGGATTCATTCTGTGGGAATGTAGGATAGGGTGAGTTAGTGATGGGGCCCTTTATTTATCCAAGGATCTCATTTACCAGAACCTTCTTGGCTTGATGACTCCATTTCCATGAAACCTTTGGGAAGAGTTGGGAATTCCATTTCCCCTCAGCCCCCAGGGGTTAAAGCAGTCAGGGCCTCTTTTCCCAACCTGCACAAGGGTTGGGAACCAGGTTAAGGTAATCCCGACAGTGGTGTCTTGAGAAACTACAACTCCCTGGAGACTTTGAGAATGATTCTCCTGTCAGTGGGGTACCCAGAGCTGCACAGCTTGCCAGGAATCGTAGCCCGACAGTCTCACAGGAGATAGGATGCCTCCTCCGAGGGTGTTACTGCACTTAGGAGCGCTGTTCACCAAAGGATGCCTGTGACCAAAGGGGGGCTGGGACCAAGGCCTGAGATTCCAAGGTTCCGGGCCCTCCCCATCCCACCAGGAGCGCTCAGTAATTAGGGATTCAACTTCTGGAGGATGCAGAGTGTGGGAGAAACCGCACTCTGCAAATCCCAGGGTGAGGCTGCAGATCTGAGCATAGGAGAATGACATGGGTGGGTCGCCCAATTTGCCAACCCACCTCTCTTTGCTCTGTGGGGACACCATACATACCCCAAGCTGGAGGGCAAACTTGGACAGGCCAGTACCTGGGATTCACAGGCCCTCAAAGGTGGTCCTTATACTTCAAGGTTGTGATTCCCAGGGACGAGATGCTACAGAAACGCAGGTTCTCCATCCCTGTTTGGTGTAAAATGTCCTCACCAGGAGGTTAATCCCCAGCTGAGAAACCGGTCCATCTACCCACATCCCTGCCCTCTTGGCACCATCCAAGAGGGGCCCAGCCCACTTCCGACACCAGCAACCTCTTGCTGAAGGCGTGAGCAAGGCCTCCCACTGCTGTGCCGGATACCAGGCCTTCCTTTTCTCCCGATTCATCCTTCCCAGGCCCTCCCAGCTCTCTGGTTTCCCCTCAAAACACTAGCCCAGCTAACAACCCCATCAGCTGTTATTTGCTGCCCATCAAAGACCACAAGCCTCATGAGGACTAAGGGAGGGGCCAGCATCTGCCAGCTCGGGGCTGTCAGGTAAGGTCTGGGATAGATGCTGTGCCTCGCCCGGGAATACCCGGTTCTAGTGAAACTAAAGCAACACTAACTCCAGCCACATTAACTGCCTCCCACTACTCCACCCATGCAGGCTTGGGGTGCAACCAGAACTGAGCCACCCACAGGCCCCCATGGGGTTACCCTGTTGGGCAGCACCCTTGCCTTGTGCTCTAACAAATCCCAACAGAGACCAGTGCCCTTGGCACCGGTCATGGTCATGGATGGGGTTGACTGGCTGTCTCCCCAAGCACGTGAGCTCTGTCAACCCCAAGAAATAAAGGGGTCAGCAGGCCGCGAGCAGTTCAATAATTAATATTACCAACAGCGTGTTAATTACAAATAACGAGAGAGGAACTAGAGGTGGTAAGTTTTCCAAACGGGAACCAGGATCCACAGCCCCAGTCCCAGGGGTCCGGCCACCCGGGCGGGGCGGCTCAGTAATAAATAATGGGGTTGGGGACAAGGGGTCAGGGCTGCTCCTGCTTCTTCTTGACAGAAATCCGCTTCTTCCTGGCCGCCAGCATCTCATAGAAGGGGTCCACGCTCACGGCTGCCCTGCAGAAGGGGAGGGACCCCTGGGTGAGGGCCCCGGGGCCCGGCCCGGCCCCCCGCCCCGAGGCCCCCGGAGCCCGCTCACTGGATGGACTTGATCCACTCGTCTTTCTCCTCCTGCGTGGGGGCCGAGATCCGGTACACCATGTGGTTCCCCTCGACCACGCGGCCGTCCGCCTCCGTCTTGCAGGCTTTGATGAGCTGCCCCTTGTTGTTGGGGATGTAAAGCTCAAAGCAGTTCTGGGGAACACCGAAGAGGCGCGCTGGTGGGTAAGAGCGGCCCGCGGGCCAGAGGCACCCCCACTGCGCAGGAAGGGGCACAGAGACGCTCTTACCGGTTTCCGGGGGTCGTCCACCTCGCGGATGCTCAGGTTCTCCAGGGGGATAATTCCTCGGGGCTCCTTGTCCTGAAAGAGCAAGTGGGACAGGACTCAGACTTCCCAGCCCCCCCTCCCCCCAGGGCCCGGAGCGCAGCTCGCCCGTCCTCACCGTCGTGTACTCAAAGTAGTAGAGGCAGTTGTCCGTGAGGATGAACCAGCGCCGCTTCCACGTCTTCACCCGGCCCCCTGAAAGGGAAGGGGTGGGAGGCGGCCTGGGCTCAGCACGGGGACAGGGCCTCTGGGAGGGGGGAGGGGAGTGAGAGGCAGAGCAAGCGCAGGGGGCGGGCTGCCGCGGCCTAGGACAAAGCGACGTGCGGGAGAGACAGACAAGCAGGGCCAGGTGTGTTTGGGCCCCAGGAACTGGCCCACCCCCAGCGCGGGGCTTTACACTTTCTAAGCTTGTCGGTCAGCCCAGGGCCCAAGAGTTGGAGCCCCCAGCCCCCTCTCCCTGTAGTGTCGGGGAGCTAGGACGGCCGTGTACCTACCTCCTGGGGCAGACAGCGAGAAAGCAGGCAGGACCAGGCGAGAAGGGAAGGCAGAATGGGGTGCCCCCAAGAGCCGCAGGCAACAGAAATAGGGAGGGCGAGGGAAGGAATGCTCAGGGGGTAGGCCAGAGACAGAAACAGCAAGAGAAACACGCAGAGAGGGAAGGAGGGGGGAGAGAGAGGGAAGAAAACCAGTTACATCCACATGAGGGAGGATCGGCCAGGTCCTCTCCCTCCTGGGGAGGCGGCGGCCCTGAGCCCCACAGAGGGAGCAGTGAGCACCTCCTTCACCAGTGCCCGGCTCCAGCCCACCCTCAGGACACGCCCTTGGCCAGGAGGGCCCTCCACTGCCACTGTGAGCACATCTCTCCCCTAGAGGGCATCCCCACGAGGGAGAAGACACAACCCCAGTCCTTGGCCCGAAGTGGGTGTGGGGACTCATGTCAGGTCTAGTACAAACTGGCTGTGTGACCTCAGTACAACCTCTTGCCCTCTTAGGCCACCTTCCTGCTTCCAGATGACCTGCTTGTGTTCTTTGCGGTGCAAGGACTAAATAGGAACAGTAATAATAGCTTTTGTCAACCATCGCTGTGAACACAGCCACTACCAGAGCCCTCTCCTGTATTTAAGAAGTGCCTTTTTCTAATGGCCATAAAGCAGAGACGTGCTTGGGTTAGAGATCTGAGTTCAAGGCCACCTCTGCCCTGCAGCTACTGGATGATGACCCAGCCTCAATGTCCTAATCTGGGAAACGGGAAGGATGCCTGCTGATGGGAGTGGTGTGGAGGGGAAATCTTCCCGGTGAAGGTGCCTATCCCAACAACACATCCTCACTGCCGGGACACCGCTGGCCTGGCAGCACCTAAATCCCCCCAGGAACCCAAGGGCCCCAGTACATTGGTGGAAGTGATGTGCATTTCTTATGTGCACCAGGACCCATCTGCACCTGGGCGGGGATCTGCTCTGGGGCTGGAGAAGTGTGCCTTGGCTCAGGAGCACAATCCCACACTGGGGAGGAGCAAGAAGGCCCCGAGGAGCAGAGTCCTGCCTTGACCCTGCACTGGGTTGGGACTTCCTCTGGGCCTCCCACTGCCCTGGCTGTGTCCATTGTCCACACTGGACTGATTCCTCCTCAGTGACTCTGTCTCCTGGAGCAGCCATTCATGGCTTCTCCATTAAAAAGCCACATTAACGCTCCCGTGGCACCACCGTTACCAGGCATGGCTCCAAGCAGCACTCTCAACCTCAGCTCTGCTTGCTGTAGGGCCACCTGGGGAGCTTTCACCATGATTGATGGCTCTCCTGCCCCGGATCCTGACTTCGCAGCCCAACCATCGGGGCTTAAAAGCTCCCAGGTGACTCTCCTGTGCAGCCAGGGCTGAGAACCACTCCAGTCCTCAGTAAGAGGCACCTGTGTGACCCCTGCTAACTGACCAAATTTGCTGGTGCCACCCCACCCACATATTCCACCCTGGCCAGGGTCTCTATTCATAAGCAGAGCCTGGCAGCAGTCAGCCCTCCTGAACCTCCTCTTCACCCACAAATGTCATGGAGCCCCTGTACGCCAGGCCCTGGCCTGGGCCCAGCACGCAGCCCTGATCTGTTTTAAGCCTCACTATTCAGATGTACAAACAGGTTGAGAGAGGTCCAATCACTCGCCTAAGGTCACACAGCAGGCACGTGTGGAAGCCGAGTCCAGAGCCCAGGCACACTAACTTCCCCTGCAGAGGGAGCCAGCGGGGTCAGCAGGGGACGTACCCAGCTTAAGGAGCCAGCCCTCCCGGTCTGGGTTGAAGAAGGTGTGGGTCAGGTCATTCCCGTCATCCTCCGGGATCTTGAAGGGCTCGTTTCGGATGCTGTCATAGAGGTTCTGAGGGGCGAGAGCCCAGTCAGTCACTCCAGGCCCCTGGGACCCTCCCAGGGCCACTTGGCAGGGGCGGAGGGCAATGAGACCAGAGGTGGGACAGCCCACGGAGGGGGAGGAGGCTGAGAGATAAGGGAAGCAGCAGGCAGGAGTGGAGGGAGCCCCGGGAGGAGAGAAAGGAGGAAAGACAGACAAAATGGAGAGGAGACAGACGCAGTTGTAGGATCCTACTAAGTTCTCACAGATGGAAACAGACAGAGGTGGATAATGGCATGGACCAAGACCCTGAGAGTCAGAGGAGGGAAAGAGACAAAGACAGACGCAGCTGGGGAGAGAGAAAAGAAATGGTGACCATGAAGGGCGGATCCCAGGGGGAGAGCTCAGGGGGAGACCCATGGATGACGCGCTGTGGGGAGGGGAGAGGGGCCTGACCCTGAGCAGCTCCTCAGGCAGGTCTCCGCCCTCGTTGATGCCCCGGTTCATGGCCACAAAGCGCTCCAGGCCCGGCTTGTCTCGGACGTTGGGATTGTGAAGGCTGGTGTTCAGCATGATCACGGCAAAGGACAGCACATAGCAGGTGTCTGCAGCACAGTCAAGTGGTGACGACATGGTAGGTGGGCCCCCTACCTCCTGCCCCCCGGGCTCCAGGAATTCAAGCCCCCAGCCCCTCCCTCCAGGCCCCAGGAGTCTGGGTGCCCACCTGTGGACTGGAAAACCCCCGGGTTACACAGGCAGTATCGCTGGGCAAAGGCTTCCATCATCCGGTCAATCTTCTGGGCCTCTCCAGGGAGGCGGAAGCTCCACAGAAATTGCCTGCGTTAGAGAGGGGTCAGGTTGGCTGCTGGGACAGGTAGAACCCCTTTCCCAACCTCAGTCCTCATATTAGGAACTAGTCAAGAGCACCAACCCTTGTGGCCTCAGCAGCTGTTTCTGGAATGGACACAGGATTCAGTCTGACCAATGAGCACTGACTATGGGACTTTTGGTGGATTTAAGGAAACTACTCTTTCTGCTAAGGTTGCTAAAGAGGCCTGAAGGTTGCTAGAGGCTTGTGTTGTCCCGTGGGAGGAGGGCCTGCAGAGAGCATTGCAACATAGTGGCAAGCACAACCGAGAGATAAAGCTGAACTTCTGACACCATTTGAGCACCTGGATACAGCTATGCCTGAAGGACCTAATGTGGATCTTTGTGTTACATGCGGCAACCAATTCCCTAATTTTTGTTTCTGTTTTTGTTTTGGGTAGGCATCACCACTTGTAAAGAAAGAGGCCTGACAGGTCCATTCCTGACCTTCCAACCCAGTCCCTCTCACCTGAGGGCCTGTACCAGATTGAGGTCGGTGAACTCATGCAGATCCACAAAGGCATGGAGCACTGCCAGGTTCAGCTCTTCCCTGGGAGGACAGGGACACAATCATTCACAAAAAGGAGTTTAGGAAGGTGGGAGTGGACAAAGCACTGGGGAGGCTGTGCCACCACTTCTGTACCCCAGCTGCCTCCATAGAGGGTGAAAGTTTTGGCCTGGCCCCATCACAGGCATGGCACCAGGGCAGGGATACTCAGAATATGCTCTCTGGAGGACCATCTGTTGCAAGAACCCTGGTTTGGCTGACCTTTGCACAGCTGGGTGAAATGCAGCAAACATGCTCTGCCTACTGTCACCTCTCTCAGATCATTCCTAGGTTCCTCAGATGTCCAGAGATAGTCCCCAAACCCTCCAAATATCCGTGGACAGTCCCCACACCCCAGATGTCCACAAAAACGATCCTCACAGTGCCAGATGTCCACAGTCTCCACACATACCAGATGTCCATGGATGGTCCCCAGGGATCTACAGAGGGCCCCCACATACCCCAGATGCCCACAGAAGGTTCCTAGACATCAACAGACAGTCCCAATACACCTCAGATGTCTAGAAAGTTCCATACACCCTAGATAGCCACACAACCCCTAAGCACCCATACATCCACAGATGGTGCCCATACACTCCCAATGTCCAGTCTCATGCACCCTAGACTTTTAGACAGTCCCCATACAATCCACAGTCCACAGAGGTCCTCATGCTCCCAGGCTTCCACGGATCCCCATGCTCCCCAGATATCCACTGATGATGTCCACATGGTTCCCATGCACACCAGTTGTCTACACATGATCCTCACATTCCTATGAAACTCACAGATTTTCTCCATCCCCAGTCATAAATGAATGGTCCCCACACTTCTCAGATGTCTACAGGTCCCCACACCCCCAAGACGCTCACAGACAGTCCCCAGATCCCTGTGTCAGTTTATCCTGTCACAGTTGGAAGGCTAGTCTATCAGGGCCTGTCCTGGAAAGAGGAGCTGGCAGTGTGAGGGCAGGAGCTAGATGCAGGGAGTAGTGGGGAGAGGCCCAGAGGAGCTGGGGAGGAATCTCACCTCTCCCCCAAGTAGTCTCCGATGGCCGTCTTGTTCAGGCCCTCGCCCTTGTACAGGAAGCGAGCGATCTCCTCAGGTGTGTTCTGCAGAAGTTCATTCTCCACCAAGAACTGGATTCCCTAGTGGGTGGGGACTGGGTCTCAGTGCCAGTATGTTCAGAAAGCCACTCCCACGACCTCCCCAGAAACCTCAGCACCCAAACTCACCCCCATGCTAACGGAGCAGGGCCAGGTGTCATTTCCAGGCTTCTCTCAGGTCTTTAGATACCATTCCCTCCCACCTCATACAGCCTTTGCACCTACTGTTCCCTCTGCCTTTGCCTGGTCAATTTCAGCACCAAGAACAGGGTCTGGCAAGGAACAGGAGCTCAACAGATGTTTGTTGAATGACTGAACAAACTATAGTGCTTGGGGCAGGAAGAATAAAGTGAGAAACTTAGTAAACAGCAGTCCTTCAAGAACTGTGAGGGCCAAACCTCCAGCTGGACTCTGGCCTTCTGTATGCCATGAGGACCTCCATTACAAATCCATCTCACTCTGGATTATGGTAATCATGTCTACAGGCTCCCTGAGGGCAAAGCAGGGTCGAACACTCTCTAGGTCCCCAGCACTAGCTAGCAGAGGAGCAGGCCCAAGGAAGGCATGAGGAAATGGGTATAAAATAAGTGACTGAATGAACAAATATCTTTCTTCCACCTGATGAACAATGACTCTTCCTTCAAACCTGACCTGAATATTCCCTCCTCCAAGAAGCCCTCCCTAAGTGCACCAGGCTCCCTCCTCTGAGTGTCCACAGCCACTGTGCCTCTGTTATGGCACAGGTCAACCCTCTTTTGTGCATGCCACTGTCCATGGTTCCTACCAGACACGATCTCCTCCTGGGACTCTAGATGACACCTAAAGTGGGTCCAGAAATATGAACAAAAAGGGGAAAGAGGATCTCCGGGCAGAGGACATGGCACAAGCAAAGGTAAGGAGGTCGGAGCACTTGGTTAATGTTCAGAGAACAAATGGACAGTCAGTCAATATCAAAATACAGGGATTAGGACCAAGTCTGTCCACCTAAAGCAGGCCTTTAACCATCACACTACTGGAACTTGGAGGTGCCAGAAACCCCCAGCGGGATGTCTGCCAGGCTGACCCCAGCCCTGTGGCCCCAAGCACCTTCTTGGGGTCCATGTTGAACTTCTTCCTGCCCATTGCCATCTTCCGGTTCCGCTGCAAGGTCTTACTGCAGAGGCAGAGAGCAGGGGAATGGAGGGTCAATGCCCGGGCATCCCAGGTCCTGGCCTGGCCCCATGACCCAACCAAGTGCCCCACTCCAGCCCTCACCTGCCCTCATTGGCCTCCAGACCCTCCACCTCGCTCATGGCTTCGCTGAGCTCCTCCCGCAGGCGCTGGATCTCCACCAGCAGCTCCTGCTTTCGCCGCCGGATGTTCTCCAGCTCCATCCGCTCCTCTGGAGTCAGGTCTGGGGGTTCTGGGGGTCAGGGGTTGGAGGTCAGTTCTGGGGACTGGGAGTCTGTTTTCCTGCAACCTGGGGGATTGCAAGGCTGGGGGCATGACTCCTAGGTTCAGGAGGAGGATGAAGATGAGGGTCAGGCCCCTTATGTCTGCCGGAGGGGCTGGGGGCCTGGTCTCCTCACTCTAGGGGAGACAGAGCTGGGGATCTAGACTCTTGAGTCTTGGGGTTGGAGGGTCCCGGGGTACGGACTCCTGAGTCTTAGGGAGAAGGGGGCTGGGAATCTGAACTCTTAGGTCTGGGGGAAGAATGGGCTGTAAGTCTGAATTGTTGGTTCATTACTTGGAAAGGGCTGAGGCCTTAGTTTTTTATTTCCATTCTTAGGGATGTAGCTGGATGCCTGGGTGTCGGGACTCCTGGGTCCATGAAAAGCAACTATGGCAGGGGAAGCTGATAAGAGCTCGTAAGAGTTGGGGAAGGGGGCGGGGCACCAAAGGCCACGGTCTTAGTGGGATCTCTGTAGCCCCAAGATTTCTCCCTCACCCCACAGCCCCCAGAAGCCCCCCTCCCTGGTCCCAGCAGGCACTGGGCTCCCCCGGCCCCTCCAGGGGGAATGGTTCCGCCGGGCCTCGACTCCACCGCTCCATCCCGCCCCCTCCCGCAGCCACCGGAAACAGGATCGGCCCAAACAATGGCCTGGAACGCCCCGTTCTCGGGCCCCGCCGGAAGCCCATCCTGTGCCCCACAAAAGCGAGACCCCACGACGGTGCCGAACAGCTCCGCGAGGCGCGCATCGGGGGAAACGATCGCGGCCGAACGTTCGGGAGGAAAGGCTTCATCCGCTCCAACCGGCCCCACCCCTCACCGACCTACCATAGACACCGTCCTCCATGGCGGCTAGGAAGGCCCGGGGGGAGTCCGGGGCGGTCCCGCCGGTGGGGCCTGGTTCCGCGTTGGCCCGCGGGCTCCGGTGAGCCCGCTCAAACGCCCCGGGAGCCACCGCCGCCTCCTCAGCGCCAGTCCTCAGCGCTGAAAAGACTCTCCCTTCGTCTCCCAACCGCCCCGCCAGTAGGGACCGCCCCTCGTCTTGACACCGCCCAATCCACTTCGGGCCCTCTCGTCTGCTCCGCCCTCCTAGCCGAAGGACCGTTCTCCACGGCCAATAAGCGCGCAAGGAGCAGACGTAGCCGGGTCCGGCCGGAGGTGGACAGTATGTGGGGCCAATCGGAGAGCGGGCCGAGGGCTGGGCACCGCCTCTGAAACAAAAGAAGTCGCTTGGCCGGTTTGCCCGCCTCTGAGAAACCTCAGAAAGGAATTGCTTGGAGCGGGACTACGCGAGAGCAAAGAGGACTGCGCCTGCGCAAGGATTACGGGCGCCTCGGCTGGGTACTTGTTAAACCGAGCCCTCCGCTAGTTATATGTTGCTGGGGGGCGGTACTTTGTTAGCCTTGTTGCCAGGGGCGGGGCCCCAGCTGTCGGTTGTTACGGTGAGCCGCACCTCCTAGCGACCTAGCTGCCTTTCGACAGCAGCGGTTGCCCCGCAACCGGGGGCAGGTTTGCCTCGCCTTTCTTTCGGCCTCCTTTCTCCCGCTTTGGCCCCTCCGATCTCCAGACCCCTTTCTTACCCGCTCCCATCACCCCACCACCCCAGTCTCCTGAGAGTTAAGAAGTGGTGAAACAAAGACTTATTCTGCCCTTTTAATGTCACGCTATTTGGTATCTGTGAAGGAGAATGGGACAATAGAGGAATCGCAAATCTAGTGAAAACACAGGCTCCGCCTTCCTGGCGCCAGCCCCTCCCCCTCCCCGAAACTCCTCCCCGTATCTTAGCATCCTCCACCTACGACCACGCCCCTTTCCTCGGCGCCCTCCCGCCTTCTCGGATCCCTTACCCCTTCTCGGAGTCCTCGCCCTCCTCTCCTACTCGCCTCACGTCAGGTTTCCCCCGCCTCTCACACTTGCTCTCCTCCCGCCTCTCACAGTTCTCAATCTAAGGCCTTCACCCCACCCCAACCTCTCATTCCCACTCCCTGCTGCCAAAGCCGGTGCAGGACCCCGGCCGGAATGGAGAACCTGGGCACCCTGTCATGGGCAGGTCCCGAACTGGGGCTGAGGGGTATCTGGCCCTCGTCCGCATTCGCCGCCCCTGAGCGAGGCAGGTGGAGTAGATTCAGGGCTAGGACCTGGTTAAGCTGACAGACTAGAGCTTCCTAATCTCATTGACCTTATGACCAGGACCTGCCCTCCCCAGTGGAAACCCAGGCTGTGCCAGCCCTGACCCCACTCCCCCCCTTTCAAATAGAACCCTTTCCCTGTCCCTTTACCTCACACTTAACATCCTTCTCCATCCCTATTTCCATTGCCCCCTGCCCCCAACCCAGACACCCTGAGCTGGGAGAGCCGCCAGCTAATTAATCCCATCCGGTTATTATGTGAGGATTCTGAAGGATAAAGGAAGGTGGGGAAAGCCAGAAGGGGGGACCTGGGTTGGTGCAGTAGTTGGGCAGGCTGATGGGCATTGACAGTGCCCACCCTCAATCCTGGGACACAAGGATGGGAACATGTCATCCCTGGCATTGGTTCCTTCTGTGGCTGGCTCCCTGCCTGCTGGGCACTTAGGTAGATAGAAGCATGGGCAGAGGCCAAGCCCCAGAAGCACACTCAGACACACCACCAGGGCTCCCAGTGGTTTAATCTGGGGGACATGTCTCCCCCTAAATACATACTTTCCCCTACCATTGAGCTACCTCCTTCCCCTGTTCCCAAGCTGGACCAGGGAGGAGGTGATTCTGGCCCTTAGCCACAGCCCACACTATACCTTGCTTGCTCTGTCATTCAGACATCCAATTTCAGAGCTAGCCTCCAGGGGAATCTCCCACCCCAGGTGCCCCTGAAAGGGCCCTGAGTTCCAGCACCAGGGAGAGCTGGGAAATCTAGGACCCTCACCCCCACTGTACCCTCAGTGAAGTGAGGAATCATTCTAGTGGAAAGGCCCTTGGAGAAGTTCAAGTTCCAATGCCGCATTTTTACAGAGGGGGAAACTGAGGCCAGGAAGGGAGTGATTTGCCCCAAGTCACACGATGCTTAAGCAGAGTTAGGATTAGAGCAAAGCTTCCTAGATCCTTGTAAGAGACTCCATTCCAATTAGCTCAAGCTCCATTTCTAACCCTTCTGTTAAGAACCATGGGAAAAATTAGATATCTGTATTTATATGATATATAATACACATATGTATAACATCTTTAAGAAATAGATAGACATCACTAGGTGTAGGATTCCAGAGCATTGCAGACTCACCCGCCTTGGGCCTCTACTTCCCTTGGCCAATAACTAGCCCTGTTATTCGCAGGGTCTTATCTGGGTCCACCTTCTAGGTCAGCCCAGAAATGCTGCCTATCAAATCCTGAGTCCACCTCCTAGAACTGCCACATTCTAGGAGCTTAGAACTTCCAGGCTTTGATAATGGGCAACTCTTGATCCCTGAAGCCTTGGTTCCTTTTGGCATTACAGAACCACAAGGAAGTCATCTAGAATCAACACTCCTTCCTTGACTCTGTGATCAATCTAGAGCCACAGAATCTTGATTCCTTTGGACATTCTAGAATGGCACTTAAAAAACAACCTGTGGATCATTTAGAAGCACTGATTATCCCCTTGCTTCGATGTTCTACAGCCAGTGGCCTGGAGTTATTTAATATCAAGAACTCCCAATCTGTCACTTTAGTCCTTTTATACCCAGAGTCTCCATTGTTTTGTGCATTCTAGAAACGCAACTCGTTGGGTTCTGGAGTAGTTCTGCCATCTAGGTGAAATCCATTCAAGAACCATCAGTACTTGTCTCTGTGGTGAATCTAGATTCACAGAATCTCAAAACATGGGCTTTCTGGAACCACAGGTCTTTTCTTGACTTGCAATCAACATTCCTTGTCTTTGGTTAATCAAGAGAGTACTGAATTTTTAGGGCATTCCATAACTTTCCCTCCTTAGGTGCTCTAGAAAAAATGACTTGCTACTTGGTTGGCTGAGTAAAGAAACAACAGTCCCTTGAATCTTAGATCAATCCAGACCTATAAACTCTTGACCTCTCTTGCTGCTTGAGAGCTGCTGACTTCCTCCCCCAGAGGCAGTCTATACCATTGATTCCTGACCCTGCTCAACAACCCAAGCCAGCCCCATGAAGAATCTAGAACCACCTGCCCTTGCCTCTTGGGTGGTCCAGAATCCTGAATCTCTTAGCTCTGGTGAGACTCAGGAATCAGGCTGATAAAGGGGTCTCAGGAGGGAGCACGCAATGCAGAGGAATTAAAATCCAGTATGTCCATGGTGGGTCCATAGGCATGGCAGAACTTCACCAGCTAATAATGTATCCAGCAGGCCTGTTGGTCTTGGGGAACACTTGGCTCCATCCCAGGAGAGGGCCCGATCTTTCCATCTTGCTGCCTCTGGGAAGGGGATGCACATGGGGGACACCAGCTGGCATCATGGGGGCAAGGTCAGCGCCAGGGTTGGTGTGAGTATTCGGGGGCTGGTGGCCCCATCTTCTGCCTCCTCCTCCTCCCCCTCCTTGGCTTCCTCTTCCTCCTGACAGAAGCTCAGAGCAAGTTCATTCTCATAACAAAATGCAGTCAGAGAGCCAGGGAAGCTAGACTTGGGGCTGTGGGAATCCTGCTGTGCCCGTTCATCCAGCTCCTTGGCGCTGCAGACTGGTGTCCCTGGGACCTCATAAGTGCGATGGAAGTGGCGATAGTCGACCTCATACTGGGAGCCACGCTGGAAGAGGACTGGCTCAAAACGATGGCCCCAGAGCAGCTCACCAGGGAGATAGGAAGAGCGACACTGTGTGGTCATAGCCGTGGCCTCAACCATGCCCTCCAGAATGACCACTAGCTCAAAGTCGGCCTGGGCCAGCTCGGCACGTCCTAGTTCATAGAGTGGACTGGAGGAGTCAATCTCGTGCACGATGGTGATGGGAGACACAAGGAAGATGCGATCAGTGCCACTGTCAAAGCCCACGTCCACATCCTGGTGGTCCAGTGGTATGTACTCACCTTCCGGAGTCACACGAGGCTGCAGCAAAAAACCAGGTGGCCGAAGACAGACATCAGAGAGCATGGGGATGAAGACAGAGATGGCGATAGGAAGGGGCATTCAGAGAAAGAAAAGAGCAGAGACCGGCAGGGGTGGGGGTGGGTGAGTAGAAGAACCCAGAGAGAGGGAGATGGCGACCCAGAAGGAGAGGGAGATGGAAGCCCATAGAAAGAGGGGTCAGAGACCCAGAGATAGAGAGGGATAGAGTGATATTGGCATAGAGCCACAGAAATCAGCAAGACAGAGAAGTCAAAGAAACAAGATAAGGATGACATCCAAGCAGCAATAGGAGGAGACAAAAAGAAAAATGGCTTTCAGTAAACAGCCAGAGAAAGATAAGCCAGGGTGACAGTCTAGGTCCGACATCCTGTGTTCTACCACAGCTTCAGGCTAGCCCCTGGGCTCTCCGCCCCCCACCCCCACCCCAATGACAAGCGCTGCAGGCCCTTGTGTATATGTGTGTGTGTGGGGGGGGTGAGGGTGTGCAGTCTACAGGCCAGGTAAGGATAGTTTCACCCCACCTCCCCATTGATTCCATACCCACCTCCCAGGCCATGTCAGCACCCCACAGACTTCTGGGATTGACAACATCCCTCCCAGGTCATGAATCCTGGTGTCTCAGTCAAGCTGGAGACAGAGGTGGAGGTTGGGACCCATTCTCTCCCACCTGTCTCTGAGAGAACCCAGTCACTGCTGGGAGCTGTAGTTCCTACCACCACCCTGTCCACTTTTTTACCCAAGTAGAAGCTCAGCCCAAGATTAAGTGTCTACTTGGACAAGGGCAGCTAGCCCCAGAATTTGGGCAGTTTGACTACAATTCTAGAAATACTAAAGCGCCCTTTGCAGGACGCAGGAAGCCACTACCCCAGGAGCCAATGGGAGCTGCTATTTTGTTTTGCCGAGAAGCTAAAATTCAAGTTTCCCATCCCCGGCCCTATACTCCTCCAAGCAGGAGGATGGTGGGACATACTGGGCCACTGAAGTGGAGAACAAAGTTTCTCACTAAGGCTCCAGAACCCCCCAGAGGTCATGGAGAATTGTGTTCCAGGGCTCTGTAGGTGTGAGCTGCACCCCATCCTGGGACCTACACCTCCCACAATCCCACAGCTGCCAGTCATAGGGCGCTGGAAATTGGGAACCTGAGCGGTGATTTACACCATGCACAAAACTGCGCCTCCTCAGACCATCTCGTGGGGGGAACTTACCCTGCCCCCAGAGGCTTCTGGGAATTGTAGTTCAGAGGCTTTGCAGGCTAGGTGTGGTCCCAAGGTTTAGATTTCTCGCAATCCCACTGGGGGCCCATCCTCAAGCCCCAGAAAGCTCTCTATGCCTCAAAATCTGTCTCACGTCTAGGCTTCCAAGAAGAGCTGGTCACAGACTTCTCTCTTGGGTTTATATCTCCTACCATTGCTCCGGGACTCAACCTCAGGCCACACGTGGAGCAAGAGGGTCCCGGCCGGGAGACTGCTGGGAATTGTAGTCCATGCACCCTCCAGGGCGGGCACACCTCGCCCTCAGGCCTACATCTGCCACAATCCCCCCGGGCTCCCACCCGCCCGGCGAACGGCCCCCCCCTGCCTCGCACCTGCAACAGCTGCGCCCGCACGTGGGCCTCGACCAGGTGGCTGCGGCGCAGGTTTCCCACGCGCCACATGAGGCAGAGGCGGCGGTCGCGCAGCGCCACGACGGCGTTCTCGCTGAAGATGAGCGTCTCGTTGCGCTTCTTGGGCTTGGCCATCTTGGCCATGACGGCGCCCACGACGAAGGCGTCGAGCACGCAGCCGGCGATGCACTGCAGCACCACGGCGGCCACGGCGGCCGGGCACTCCTCCGTGACGCTGCGCACGCCGTAGCCGATGGACGTCTGCGTCTCCAGCGCGAACAGGAAGGCGGCCAGGAAGCTGGCCACGTGCGAGAAGCAGGGCGCGGCGGGCGGCGG